TGACAGTCCATTTGACTAGCATTACCAGTGGAACTTGATGAACAGCTACTGACAGTCCATTTGACTAGCATTAACAGTGGAACTTGATGAACAGCTACTGACAGTCTATTTGACCACCATTACCATTTTAACTTGATGAACAGCTTCTGACAGTCAATTTAACTAGCATTAGCCAATGGAACTTGATGAATAGCTTCTGACAGTCCATTTGACTAGCATCTGTCTCTTATACACATCTAGATGTGTATAAGAGACAGGTGTATTACTAGTCTTATTTAGACGTAGCGCACCATCTTTATATTATCCGTCGCTATGAACACAGGTCGTGGGTGAGATAGTCATTTTGAAGTTATAGTGCAGCTTTCTCGGTTTGTGTGTGTATGTGTGTGTCACGTTTTGGTGTTTTCGTGTGGGTGGTTTTTTTTTTTTTTTTTTTTTTTGTGCAACATACCTCAAAAACGGCTGCACAGACATAGATGAAAATAACAGTTAAGTGTTAGCTTTAACCCAATGGAAAAATGATTCAAATTTAAAATCCAAAGGTCCCCGATATAAATATCTCAAAAATGGACCAATGGATAAAAAAGCCTTCTTGCATGTATTTTTCCTATCTTTTTTAAGTAGATTGTGGTTAGTAGTTGAAAAGTAGGATCAAATTTTTGAGGAATTATTGTAGGCCTATAGAAAGAGATTGGTGGTTGGCGGAGATATGCTGTCTATTGAGTGCTTGTTATTATTATTATTTCTAGTGTCATTGTTACTATTTTCATTATTCTTATGGTTATTATTATTATTATTATTATTATTATTATTGTTATTATTGTTATTTATTTTATTATTATTGTTATTGTTATTATTGTTATTATTATTATTATTATTATTATTGTTATTATTATTATTATTATTATTATTAATATTATTATCATTTTTATTATATTATTATTATTATTATTATTATTATTATTATTATTATTATTATTATTATTATTAGCCTATTATTGGCTATTCCCAACCAGTACTGGGAAAAGCCTTCTTGCATGTATTTTTCCAATCTTTTTGCACTGTATTTTTCTGGCCGTCACTTTGGTGACTTGCTTAGATAATAGTAATAATAATAATAATAATAATAATTAATAAAGAAGATACTTTCAATGATCATTGAAAGTAACAAAAGTAAAATATCAGCATAAAATAGGACTATATGATGTTAATTGTCTGAATATTTCTATTAATTGGCATGAATATTTCTATTAAATGTAGTGATAAAAGAAAACCCTATACCGGACTTTGGGTTGAAGTATTCTCTTTATTACGAGTGCATTGATGTCGTTCCGTGGTCAGCTGGCGCAATCGTAACAATGTGTGTATTATCTTATTTTAATTGTTATCAATATTCGTTAATTTTCCTAAAATATATAACAGTGCCGTAGTAAATAACTGTCGGTAAATTTCCGTCGTCAAACTCAGGTAAACTATTGTGATTGACAAAATTTAATTATTATGTATATTAAATAAATATTTTCAAAGACAACATTAATACTATCTTTAAAAAGGTGCATCTTGTCTATACTTGCTGCTTTTGTGATTGCGGGAACTGTTTACGAGGCAATGAGTATCTATTTAGAAAGACACAAAACTATACAACCGATCAAATTAAAGCGTATTGTTGAACCCGTCACAAACAATGCTTACTCGAATGAGACAGTTATGTCCAAGACTAATGAAGCAATGGAGTTGAAAAAAGACGAAACCAGTGAAACCTCTTCTGGTATTGATACTGGCTCAGCATCTTCAGTGGAAGTGAACTCGAACTACGGCACAGCAGACATAGAAAATGTTCAGAGTACTGATGTAAAGGTTCAGAATTCTTCTTGCACAGGTTTGTTTTTCAAATTACTAATGTATATATAGACGTAAATCATAGTCGGTTTTCCAATTTGCCAAGATGCAAATATAAACAAACTATTCTTATCATTCCCTTTGACTTCGGGCATCTTTTTTCAACTCTTACACTTATTTTATTTTAATGCTGCCATAACATTAATTAATTAGTCGGTAAGATGTAATTAGGATAAGCAAAAAGACATTAAATATGTCAAGTTATGTGATGCATTCTCTGTAATATGTAGCTGTATTTAGGTTTTCAGTGAACATTTTATAAAGTCCGTTTTTAATCATTGAACAATACATCAATCTAAGTTTTAAAAAAATAACTTAAACATTACTGTAATTGTTTTTCGTAGCGTTTATTGAGAAATTGCTGATATGCTTCTCTGCTACAACAAATGGATCCAAAGTTCTGAACGCTGGTAGTGCAGGAGGACAGCTAGCCTGCATTAATGGGATTCGTGTACTGAGCATGTGGTGGGTTATTTTGGGCCATACTGTATTTTTTTGCTTGCTGTCTTTAGGTAAGTCATAACCAAATTCCAAAACATAAAAACCGACAAGTTCAGTATGTTGAAATTGTAAGAAAAAATATATACAACGAGTATAGTTATTTTAAAGAAAGAAGGAAACTTGATTGTGGAGCAATCTGAACATGAAGACTGTACAAACTTTAATGGGCTTGTAAGAAGTAGTAGTAGGTGTGAGGTAACGTCAATATATTGAAAGGAAACTCCTAACTAAATGTTTGTTCTATGTTTTCCAACTACCAAAATGATTCACATTTTCTTGACAGCCCTTTTTTATATGATAAAATAAAATAGATAATTTATGACTTGTATACTTTAACGTCTATTCTCCATTATGTGATTTTTGTTATCACGCTAGTTTCTTTTAGTTCAGTACAGGGGTGGCGCCAGGATTTGCCCAACAGGGTGGGGGAGGGTGAGGTCCTCGACGGGGGGATGCCTCCGACGAGAGGTTAGATTTTCCCGGCAAGAGCAAAGTGGGCGTGGTCGAGCGTCATTTGAAAGGTTTCGAACGTGCTCCAAGGGGCGAGGCCGCGAAAGTTTTGACAATTTAGGGATTTCAAAGGCTTATTTAATCGATTTTAGGGTCTACTAATAATTATGTAGAAAGTAAATGTAATTATTTTTCCCCACTACGAATTGCAATTCCTCTGCCCGACGTCGGGGCGGGGGGAAGCTCTCCTAGACGGGGTCCTGGTCCCCGGCTTCCCCCCCCCCCCCTGGCGCCACCCCTGGTTCAGTATGTCTTTACAAGTTCTTCCGTATTTCTTGGTAGGATATTGCTAGGCTCAGTATGTGATACTAGTGCACCTTTAAGCACTAACTGGGTCACGCGCCATGGGCCCTTGCCCTGTTCTCGGTATTTTTGTTCTTGTTGCTTAGAACCAGAACTGCTTTACAGAAAATCAATTTTCAACCGATCCAGATTTTTTTTTTTGGATCGGTAGGCCTGCCAAATCCATCACAAAATCTAATCCGTATGTAAAAGTAGTGCCGCTGGCGTTCGGCACTTCGGTTCAATTTCGGTTCGGATCCGATTTGAATGCAGCTTTACTTTGAATCAATTGCTCTGATTATTTCCGTCAATATACCTTTCCGGGCTGTCAATCAAACTTCCAAGTAACCAATCAGAACAAGGCATATACGCGCTGTTTACAAACACGTCTTCCACACAAACACACGAGTAACGAGTTTGTTCAGGGTGCGAGAAGCGACGTCGATATGACTATGCAATCCAACAAAAACCTTTTCCAAAGCCGAAAAAAAAAACTCTATGGGGTATATGAAAACAAATCCAATAAACTTTTCAACTTTTCAACTTTGGTAATTTTTTAGGAATTGAACCGGGCACTGAGTAATATCCACATCTCAGTGCACAAACACTTAACCTATTATGGGGACAATATAGTCCCTAAAATAGTTGTACCACTATTTAGAAAATCCTATTAAAGGAAAATTTGCATACGTAGATTCCCATTTCTCCTAATTTCAAGAAGCATTCGGGTTAGTGAATTTAATTTCATATAGCCATTATAGAATAATACGATGACAAGAATACCAGTGGCGGATTCAAGGAGGGTAAGGCGAATTGACCCGGCCTTTCGCTCTCCCTATTTTTTTTTCCAAAATAAAAAAAAAAATTGAAAATTATAATAAAATTTGGGTTTGAGAATGCCATTTTTAGAGGTGCCAAATATAAATTTTCTCAGTACTCAGTCCCATATTATAATACTGTAACATTTAAGTCTGAGCATGGAGGTATACAGTAGTCTGGGAATGCCCCTTCCGGCCATCTAAAGGTGCCAAATTCATTAATTGTCTTACCTCAGCCCCAACCTTGGCTGGGCTGAGGTGGTCTGAACTTTCTGTCTGTGAAAGCCAATCCCTGGCGCCCCCTCTGGATCCACCGCTGGATGCTCGGTTAGTACCAGGGAAGAGTGTAATTTCGTAATTTCACTGTTCATTGGTAGGTCGATCTTTTCTTAATAAAGTTAAGATTACGAACTCCGATGTTACGTTCACGCAATCTCACCACATGACGTCAAGATAATGATAAAGAAATTTACCTTTATGTTTGTGAAATAAAAATACTAACTAATGTTTTATCAATCTCACCACATGACGTCAAGATAATGATAAAGAAATTTACCTTTATGTTTGTGAAATAAAAATACTAACTAATGTTTTATGTGTACTGCCAATTTTTTTTTTTTTTTTGCCTAGCGGTTAAGTCAGGGACACCGTAACCTTCAGCTATAATATCGGTGATGGTTTGATCGGCTCCCTCGCCAGTAGTTCCGGTGGAACATGTCTCAGATAATGACTTTAAACCGTGGGCCCAATGTACGGATTTGTTTCGTGTGCGCTTTAATGAACCAAGTAGGCCTACATCCTTCGAGAAGAGTAGAGGGTTACCCTCGTGTACTGCTCCATTCAGTCCCCTTTAAAGGATATGCCACCTAGGATAATGATTAAGTTCGCTGATTGGCATATCCTTGGCGCTTGAAGAAATAAAATGCCAATGAAAAAAAGTGCCGGCTCGCCTTTCTTGCGCATACTTATATGGGGAGCAAAACTGCCTCGATGGGATAATTGGTGTACGGATTTTGCTTGAAATTCTTCTGGGAATTAATTTGGATTTTGTTTAATTTTGTAGTGTAATTGACACTGCGCCTTGAGCCCAATTGGTGGAGATGTGCTCTTTATAAATCTTTATTATTATTATTATTATTATTATTATTATTATTATTATTATTATTATTATTATTATTATTATTTCTTACATTTTTTAGTCGGAGTGTGCCATTTCCGAATAACTATAAAGGTTTCGTAATCATATATTGTCTTACCTCATGCCCAACCATGGTGGAGCTGATCTGATCTACACACTCCTGTGAAAGTCCATCCCTGGCCCCCAATTTCGAATTCCTTCAACGTACTTTGAAAGTGTAGTGTGGAAATCAATTAATTGAATTACTTAAAATCAATTAAACAAAAAGACAGTAACTCGACCGAAAAGAGACAGACATTTTGAATTCAACGTTTCGATCTATTTGATCATTTTCAAGAATACTGATGAGAAAATCTCACCCGTTCATATATGTTTACAAAATTTACAGAAGGTGCGCATTGACCATTTTAGGTGGTTTTATAATTTTAATGATTTTTAATTTACCCTTTTCTGTAGTTACCAAAAAAATTAAAAAAGTTAAAATAATTACCAAAACGTTGCAATACTTTTTACTTAAGAATAAATATCTACGTGTCAATCAGTTTAAGAGAGTTGAGTTTGGTCTTTTAGTGCTTGTCGTGGGGCTGGTACCTTGCCAACGATATGCAGTTCTTTGTCATCTCTCCGTTACTTATTGTACTGCTGAGAAAGTAAGTTAATGTATTGGAGTACTATATCATCACCACCACCATGATTATCATCATTGTCATTGGACATGATCCTAGACGCATTTGGCCCTTTCGCAAAGCAAACCTGTTGTGCCAACCCTGAGCCAACTTGCCAAAAATTATGTAGTTTCTACGCATGCGCTGGAATTTTGCGTCTTAAACGCGATCGAGATGGTGAAAAGAAACTCAATGTATAGCCAGTAGACACGATAACTAAAACATATAATCGCATCGTTTATATTCTTCAACACTGAGCGCATTTTTATCGAGTAATTTTCAAGTCTCAATGAGTGTAGTGATTTTCTTTCTTTTCGTTATATTTCGAGATATTTTAAAACCGCAATTTACCACTAATGGAAACTAAATAAAAGTCTTAACACTTTTATGACGACGCAAAAATCTAGCGCATGCGTAGGAACCAGGGAACAATGAAATTTATTTCACTGTTCCCTGGTAGAAACTACATAACTTTGGGCACAGCAGCTCAAGGTTGGCACGGCGGGTTATGAAAGGGCCAAATGCATCGTGGACATCATCGTCATTGTCATTATTCAATAATTAAGAAAGACATTTAGATAACATACAAAATAAAATATCTAAACCAAATAGAAATTTATGAATTTAATGTCGTTAAATGTATGTACTGCCTTTACAAGGAAGGACTTCTTATGCTTCATTCTATTGTATTTTCGATCATTTGTTTATTTATTCTTTCATTTGTCCGGGGCGGATCCAGAATTTTTCAAAGGTGTGTGTGGGGGGGGGGGGGGGGGCACAACAGTTTCAGAATAGTTAAGTGAGTAGCACATAACATTTATGTGCATTGAAATTTTTAAAATTTAGTTGCAAAACGAGGGGGCCCGTGCCACCAGCCCCTTACTGGATCCGCCACTGTTTGTTCCATCGTTAGTTCTTGCTTAGCGATTCAAGTTTGTTAAAATGACACGAAATGCAAAGCACTGGAATTTATGTTCACTGTCATATTTCCTTTTCTTAGGAGTTGGAAGACCGGATTTGCTGCAATATCTGCTCTCTGTTTGTTGTCCTTTGCGGCAACGGCTTCAATTAATACCTATTGGGGTTTGCCAATCGAAGGTGGTTGGGGCCAACAGTACGTGTTAAAATTACTGACTATTACTTACTGTACACGTACCAAGCCTACAATAAAATATACGAATAACCATTAGAAAATGTATCTTTATTAATAATTAAATTTGTAAAGCCCAATTTTTAAATAATCATTAAAATGCGATAAGCTATAAAAATACTAATTTATAGGCCTAATTGTTTTAATTAATAATATCACTTCTGCTACAAATTTTATATTACCCTGACCATTGGAAACTATAGAGGTGTTTTACTTTTTTGCAGTTTAAAAATTATAACATAATCTCTTGTCTTTTCAGAAAATATAACAACCGGACGGATTCAACCGAGTATCCAAATGGGGACCGAGTGTATGGCAAGCCCTACTGTCGTATTCCAGCTTACCTAGTTGGAGTGTCTGTTGGATACGTATTGTACCGTCTCGATAAAAAGCAACTGAAGATACCATTGGTAAGCATTTGATATGAATACTTGTAGCTTGAAAAACATGATAGACCTTGCCTTGACTTCTAACGATTAGTGCCCAAAATTTATTAAAAACAATCTTACAATATAATAATGAGCTATTATCATTATTGTATAATTTTTTATACAAATATAAGGCACTTTGAATATCTTCCATATTCTTCCTTTATTCTTTTTCTTCATTTAATGCTTATACACTAAAATAAAAAAAACTTATTAATATTTCCAGAAACGATTTTTTTTTCATAAAGGCCTCTACGAATGGATATCTTGTTTTGAGCAGGAAATCTTGTTGTCCCTACCCAATACCGCCTGATAATAAATTTACCGATAGTTTAGATGTATTTAATACGTAAATCCATCATGTTTTGACAATGTTCTTGGCAGTTGTGTTTTTGTTTGTCATAGATGGCTGTTCTACTGGGCTGGTGTGCAGCAGTAGCAACGGGACTAGCTGTTATATATGGATTGTGGAGTACTTATGATGGACACCAGGTTCCCCAGGGTGTGGCTGTATTTTATAACACCGTTGCTCGATTCTCTTGGTCGCTTGCTGTAGCTTGGGTTGCCTTTGCGTGTATTACCGGCTACGGAGGTACGTGAAAACATATCGACCTTCCGTAATATTAGTTAAACGTCTGACCAATCAAAATGGACGGATGGGGGAAGGGGGTGAGGATTTCTGAAGAAACTGATAGCTTATTTTATCATTTTAGATGCAGTACAATCATTCAAAATAATATTGAAATCAAGGCTCAGCAGCATAACTATGTTTAATATCTCTGCATTAGGTTTTGCGAACACCATTCTTTCTTGGGGTGTTTGGTCACCCCTTGGACGTTTAACCTACGGTGCCTATCTATTTCACCCGTTAGTTTTATACGGCATAATACTTACATGGAAGACTGAGTTCCACTTAACAATTTCCAACTATGTAAGTATTGAATTATTAATATTTATTTAATTCAATATTACACTAATAAGAATACTGACGAGATTGTTGATATATATCTCGGGTTCTGAATAACCTCAAGGAAATCTGCTATGATAAAATTTACTTGTGGCTAACAAGTAGGGCCTACCCTTGGTAATAAAGGCAGGTATCAGTTTTTTTTTGTTTTTTTTTGCTAAATTCTTTAATCAAATTTTATTATTGATACTTTCTTTCAGGCTAATCTCTTCATCGCAGGTATGGTGCTTTCGTACGCTGTAGCATTTGTGATGTCGTTGCTTGTAGAAGGACCGTTTATGGCTTTGGAAAAACTGATGCTCGGAAAAACCAAACGAGAATAGTATTAATGAGAGAAATACATTCATTTTAATAATCATACTTCAAATTAATGAGAAATGCAAACGATGAATTATATAAGTTGTCTACATTAGGCTAAACAAGGTGAGGTTTAGTGTTACGATTGAACATCTTCATATCCCAATGTCCGTGTTAAAAATGCCAGCAAAATGTTTTTTTTACAAATGATAAATCAAAAATGCACTTCACAAGCCTCATAAACAAATTTGAATATTATGGGATATCGCATGTAACAAATGACCAGCTTTGATGAATGAACAAAAAGTAGTACAAAATGTTGCGAAACATCGATAGGCCTGATTAGTTTAGTCCAGATAAATAAACATTATATTTTAAATAAATATTTTAGTAAATTAATTATGTAGAAGTAAACCAAGGCCTTCAATCATGTAAGGAAAAAAAGGAATGTTCACTTCGCTACCCTGTACCAATGCTTTCACCACTACACAAACAAATCGTATCGTTGAGTTTTAGAAATAAACCAACACCTCAGCAGAGTATGGAACTAGTTTATATACTCGATAAGAAAATGTAGAGAGTAGAGTTTATTATGATGAATAAAAGCATTGACCACAATATGTTAATCAATCGGATATTTCTTCATAGAATTTTCATATTTTGTTTTACTGAGTAAACTTAACCCGTTACAAGATATATAAAAATAGCGAGTCTTCCATAAAACCACTATCCCAGAGATTCGGCGACGCTGACTAATTGGTAACATCGGAGAGCATTCCCGATTGCGTGGTGGGGGGGGGGGGGCAGACGCAGACGCGCAGACAGCATCGACAAACAACGATCCACAGTTAGGCCTATTCTGATGATAATTAAATTAAAGAGAATTTGGAATTTCTCATTGGCTATAATCACACACGACAGGTAACTGTTAGCAGGTACCGGATTACCAACGTGATTGGTTAATGATAGAAATGCGCTCAACCTGCAAACCAATAGCGCTTGCTAACCGTTAGCGTATCCGAATCCTTGTAACGATTAGCGCTAACCGATCGGGCGTAATCACACGGGTGCTAACTGTTAGCGCTAACAGTTAGCTGCCGATCCGGATACTAGGGCTCTCGTGTGAACCCGACCATTATATTTTGAAAAGAAATTATGCTATACACATTTAATTCGGGATGTCTTGTACAGACAGGTTTATTCTACTACAGCATGATAGATGGAAATAAAAGCCTTTGAAATGAGAAAAGGGAATCCGCACCTTAGGCTTAAATTGACCTAGGGAATTTTCAACAAGAAATACCTGCCCTCCCCACCTCCGATTAGTGAATTTGGTTTCTAGAGGGCGTAAAATCAACTATGTTAGGTACAGAGGGGATGCGGCTTACTGGGGGAGGGAGTACAAATTCCTTGTAACACAGTTCTAGTTCAGAGGATGATATAGCCGAAGTTCAGCCACTACTACTAATACCCACGTGCAGTTTGGTGCTGTCATAAACATAACTAAGGTATTGAATAAATTCTAAACTAATAAACGATAAATCTGGTATGATAAGAGGAGGTGAATGATGCACCATGAACTCCAGATAATAATTAGGTATCATGAATGACAAGTCAGTATTGAGCTTCAAAACAAACATGGACTTTGTTTGCCTATTATACCTTGGTATAATAGGCTGATAACTTGAGTACAGTCATTCATCCAGTTTAGCTTACATTCGTTCTACACGGTTGCTGACCACTTTTAAAACTATGACTAGAAAACTAACCATCTTTATAATTCTTACGTGTCTTGTGCTACTCCCAACGTTTGTATCTAGCATCGAAGAGGCTATAAATTTCCTAGATGTACGCGGCGAACTTAAAAGATTGAATAATCTTTATGCTTTTAATAATTATAACATAACAACAGAGTTAAGTCTACTGGATGTTTTGAAATTTATATTTCGCCCTGAATACAAAGAGGCTATTAGGAATGCTGAAGACGTATCTGAAGAATGTCGAGAAAACATGATCGCCTACATAGAAGGCAAAGAAGCGGGTGCAGATTTCGCTAACAGAAGTAAGTTTTCTATATTTATCTTAATGACTTTGCAGTGGTGTATCAAATGGTGGGGAGAGTGAGGTTGATGGGGCGTGAAGGTGAAGTGGGGAGGGGATCGATGATTAGGTGAGGGGCGCTAGATCGCAAAATAAGATGATTTGAGCTGATTTCTAACTACTTGACCGTACGGGGCGACCCCGGAGGGGAAAAACACATTTCTTCGGGGAAACAAAAACAAGAAAGGTGATTTTTTTTTTGCAGATAGACTCTAAAATTAACAGGTCTTTCATTTTAGTCTATAATTGCGTGAGCACTCATTTTTGAGTAGTAGGCCTGTGATTTATTTTTCAGTTAGACTAACGCGATCAAAATAACAATATTATTTTTCAGTATGTACTATGATATGCCTAATGTCTTCTTCACAGTGTACTATTCAAATGGGGATATTCCGGACAGAAAGGCCCTCTGGAGTTTAGACTTCCATTCCTATGGCAACTATGAACTTTGTGTTGGTGTACCTGAGAAGAGCCCGGATGCGACTTTTGCGACCAAACAATGCGGTTTAGTAATTCTACCATTTGTAAGTTCAGTACTAAGTTATTTATTTTGAATTATGTTTTTTCTGAATGACCATCTCACTCAGGTTCATGATTTCATATTGACAACATGGCGACAAATTGTTATTGCTGTTGTTGCTGTTGTTATTTTTTTTTTATTGGTTGGTCACTTTCATTGCTATTTCATTTTATTGTTATATTTATTGTTATTGTTTCATAGGAATTTCGTATAGCGTATTGTTTTCCTGTGTCGTGCACTAACAATGATTTGAAAGAAATTACAAAAGCAGGTAAAGTATGCTAAAGTTTCTAAAATGTAACACAACATAATTCGACTAAAACATTAAAAATTACTAGCATATACTAGAAAAGAAAAACGATCCTTGTTATATAATCGAAAAGTACTAATGAAATAATCCACTTTATAGAATTTAATCAATATGTACGTTAATATATTTTTCCTGATAGGCTACTTTTCACAGGACATATACTCATGTCACTTTGAACATTAGCGCATTTGCATGAGTAAAGATGTATCAAAACAATACACCTTTCTCTGTATTTAATTATTTTGAAAAATATGAAACAAAGTTTATCTGTATCTGTAGTATTGGTTGAGCACTGGCTTCCTTGGCCAAAACCGGGTAAAGAATTCAACAATTTTGAATACCAATGCATCGATGAAGTTCCTTGGTCAGCCGGTTCAATTGTCACAATGTAAGTATAGGGCATTTGTTTTGTCACTCATTCAAAACAATAACAGTACATGGTTGAGGCAAAAATATTGTAATGTATGGTCAATGGTTATACATTTTTATGGCGCCTTTTTACAATAAAAACCGTTGAAGGCGTTTTGAACCACTGAAAAACTTGATAAACTTTAATTCGTGGCAAAGACAAGCCAAGCCAGTCATTCGTCGCAAAAATCAATTTTTAGTATTAATACAGCATTAAAAATGTAAATGAGAGCTATAAAATGGTAAAAGAATAATTTAATTTTGACATTTCCTTATAAAGTTACAAACGTTTAAACATGCAGTTCTTTAAAAAAACAATATTTGAGAAATCAGCCTTCAAAGTTTATGATTTCAGGCATTTCGCAGGCAGAAAAAAAATCACCAAATTGTTACAAATCTTTGTTTTAACATTGAAAATGGGGATGATAACAGCATATTATGATGTATAGATATATAAAGGTTAGTTTAAGTAATAAAATAAAAATGTTGACATTTCGGCATGTTTTGGCCATTATCTCTGAAACACGATTTGCAACGAGTGACTGGTTTGGCTTGTCTTTTATAATTATAGAACATGAAAGCTGGTAGAGAACAAAACAGAAAAAAGGCGACTTAGATTGGTCACAAAATCTAGCTGTTCTATTAAAATTAACATTGAAATTGTGCTAAATTAAGGTGACCGTGTATCATGATCGTATCCTTTGTGTAAACCCGTGTTTGCATTGTGTATCATGGCCCGCGGAAGCGGGGGGGGGGGGGGCGGGGGCCCGGGCACCCCAACTTTTTGGCGAAAAATATATAATGTCTAGAGATTTTTGTATGATCGGAAATGCAAAAAAAGAAGGAGGGAAGAAGGAGAAGGATGGGAAAGAGAATGTTTATCCAGTACCCGACCGAGCTATATTTTCTCGCAATTCACATTGGCGGATCTGAGGGAGGGGGTCATGGGTCCTGACCCCTCCCTTTGGCAACAAAAAAACGGGAAAAAGAAAAGAATTCTAGAACTTCCTTTTCAGGACCCGTGAGCTGATTTTTTTTTTTTTTTTTTTGCTGCTATTAGAAAATTAGAATTTTGAAGAACATAAAATTCATTAAAACACACTTCAAATGTCTGGAAAGCTCAATTCCCGCCATCTAGGAATCAAAATTTTCATTCATTCATTGATTAATTGAATTATTTTCAAGGGGAGGGGGACCTTGAAATTTGAAGAATTTAAAAGTCATTAAAAGACACCACAGAAGTCGGGAAAGCTCGTTTCCCGCCTTCTAGGAATCAAAATTTTCCTGGGGAAGAATCCCCGGACCCCCCTTTCTTTTCGGGATTCATCGATTCATGGAAAATTCGTATGCAACTACTCATTTTTTAAAAACTATGTATGTATACACACTTCCGGGGGAGGAATGTTGATCCCACCACCTAGATTTGATTCCAGATCTGCATGATTCCTATTCCCATTCATCTTATAAGCAGTGGCGTAACAGGCGGGGGCAGTTGGGCAGACTGTCCCCCCCCCCGGTTTTTACCGGGCTGACCAAGCCGTCGTACCGGGCTGGGTGTGAAGAGAAAAGAAAGAGAGGAGAGGGAGAGGAAGAGAAAGAAGGGGAAAGAAAAAGAAAGGAACAAGGAAAAGAAAAGAGAAGAGAACAATAAAGACAAGAATAAAAAGGAAGATATAATGAACAGATATCACAATATCCCGGCCTGCAATCCCTTCTCCACTTCAAAAAGTGTCCATAGCGCATTTGATCTAAGCCGCCAGATATTCTCCGCAGTGGCGTAACCACCGGGGGACAAGGGGAAAATATCCGTCTGTGGAAAATCTTTCACCATTGAATGCCCTTTTCACCCGGGAAAGTGCCTGAAAACCTCAAATTTTAAATCGCATATTTTGTTGAGATAGGCCAATTTCCTCTAAAAATTTCACATTTTGGGGAGTTTTGATCAATTCCGACGAAATTAGAATTTAAAAAAACAAAAAATTTGCGCGCGCTTCGCGCGCATTTTTTAACGTTAAAGCTTCTGCTTGCTCTCCTTTGCCTTCTAAATTACAACATATAGTCCCAAACTCAAGAAAGAAAATTTAAGATAGATCGTTTTACCTAAAAGAGGGGCCTCAATGTGTAATGATATTGAAAGAATATGTTTGTAATAAATAAAGCCATAAGAAAATGCTTATATTCAGTTTAAAAAAACGAGTGTGGCCATATATAACATAAGAGCATTTATTGTTGAGGTAGGCCAATTTCCTCTAAAAATTGCACATTTAGGGAGTTTGGATCAATTCTGACGAAATTAGAATTAAAAAAACAAAAATTTTTCGCGCGCTTCGCGCATTTTTTAATGTTAAACCTTGTGCTTGCTCTCCTTTGCCTTCGAAGTTATAACACATAGTCCCAAACTCAAGAAAGAAAATTTAAGATAGATCGTTTTACCTAAAAGAAGGGCCTCAATGTAATGTAATGATGGTGAAAGAATAGGCCTATGATTGTAATAAATGCTTATTTAGTTTCAAACACATGTGTGTGGCCTATATTAATAATAAAATAAGCCCTATGTCGTATTGTTTTCTATATGGGGTGGGGGGGTATCACACCAAGTCATAAATTACTAACAGGGAAAATTATTACCTTTGGCCCCCCCCCCCCCGACCCAAGACCCCTGTTACGCGCCTGCTTATAAGTGGGGACCCCCACTTTGAAAAACGTTCCGCCGGCCCTGTGTATTTATGATATGATTTCCCAATACGAAGATGCTAATAAATGATGTCAAATGAGAAATAATTTGTTAGTACATAGGCTATGTTTTAAATTAATTCAGGTGCATTATATCTATACTTGCTGCTCTTGTCATCGCGGGGACTATTTTCGAAATTGTTAAAGACTACACCACCAAACAAGAGGGAGTATTAGTGAAATACCAATCGAACGAAAATTATGGATTTACACAAGCAGATGAAATTCTTAAATCTGGCGCGAAAATACCAGCTATTGAAGCTATCAGTCACGAGGTTCCCTTTGAAGTGACAACCAGTTCAAGTTTACCTATAAACGAAAAGGCAAATGTGAAAAATGAAAGTTTCTCAAAGGTGGAAATAGATGGCGTTAGACCACCCCCAAACGTTGACAAAAATAGTAACACTTTATTATAATTATTATTATCATCATGATTACCACTACCATCGTCATCATTATCATCATTATTACCACCATCATCTTCATCATTATCATCATCATCATCATTATTGTTATCATCATCATCATCATTATCATCATCTCAATATCATTCTACCACCATCGTTAAGGTTATCGTTGTGTATTTTCAAGTAACAGTAAATATTATTAAAATCAACCCAGTTTGGGATTTGCTTATAAATATTGTCTATACAGTATGTTTAGTGATAATAATAATAATATTAATAATAATACTAATATTAATAATAATAATATCAATAATAATAATAATAACAATATTAATATCAATAATAATAATAATAATAATAGGCCTAATAATAATAATAATAATAATAATATTTATATATCCTTTTATTCTTTTTATGTTTAGTCGTTTTAGGTCAGACTTTACTTAGTTTTTCCGCTCTTACAAATGGCCGAAAAATTCTAAAAGTAAATTCAAAAAGTGGACAGTTAGATTGTCTAAACGGTATCCGCGTACTGAGTATGTGGTGGGTGATTCTTGGCCATGCTACATCATTTCTCTTTCTTCGAATCGGTAAGTAGCCAACTACGCGTAAATGTAGATTTTCAGATCCAACATTTTTGAGTTGAAATAATTAATGTCGTTTTAAACACATTTACATTTTAGACATTTTATAAATATGTATTAGTTGATTTATTTTAGGAATAATTTTTTTTTTTGCTCAACCTGACATGTTATCGTACTGTGTATTCATAGGTATGTGTGTCCACATCACACATGGAAACTCGCAGGTGATTCGAATGGTAATCGAACCCAGGGCTTTTTTATATAACTTGGTTTTACTTATTTTTTTTATGTCTACAAGACCTATATTTTATAATATGCCTGTGTGTGGTCTTATAAAGGATAATCTTTTCTTAATTTTAATAATAAAATAATGAAAATTAATTACAGAAATTACGAATGGAAGAATAATAATATGAATTGACATAATTATTTGGTATTATAATTTTGTTGCAGATAATTTTCCGTACCTCTTCGACGTATACAAAAAATTTACTTTCTTGGCGATCAGTAATGCAACGTTTTCTGTAGACAGTTTCTTTGTCCTAAGGTTTGTCAGCATATCTAACAATAAAGATTATGTGCATTAATAAGACCCAACAAAAATATTTCGTTCTCCCGCATGTCTTCACTGGTATTGAGAAAAAAACATTTGAAGATTTTTTTTTTTTTTTTTTTTTTTTTTTAGTAAATAGTAGATATTGTTACCTCAATCATGTTTTACTTTGAATATCAATTCACCAGCAAACAACTCAAAGGGTGGTATTTGGCTTTAGCAAAGTAAAGAAATGAAAATATGGAGCCTCCCTTGCTCATCACTTTTCCAGCCTAGATCGGATGATACAATTAATAATTAGGCCTAGATATTAAATAAAGTAAATAATGAACTTTAATATTTTGATATTAAAAATATTCCTATCTTTCAATTTGTACATCAGTCGTCATCAGCATTTTCAATATATCACATTTTTATCTTCTCGTTTTTAGTGGATTACTTATCACCTATTTAACTCTAAAACATCTTAAGAAATTCAACGGACGAATAAATTGGGCTATGTTTTACTTCCATCGATTCTGGCGTTTGACTCCGTTTTACATGGTGGTGTTGTCAATTCATGCTAATCTTATAGTATATTTTGGGAAGGGACAAGGCTTAATTGAGTGGGCACAGAGAGAACACAACACTTGTGCAAACTACTGGTGGACAAATCTTCTATACATCAACAATTTATATCCATTCCCAGGAAGCCTCACTACGCAGGTAAGTTTTCAATAGTGCTATCTGTTGCAACAATAATATAGAACATAATATAGAAGTAGGCCTAATACCTGTAGACTGCTTTAGAAAAGTAAAGTAAAATTAGGAGAATAGGTAGTTTTCGCCGCACGACGTTAACCTTAACGATGATGTCATAATTTATTCATCTTGCGTTGCGGTTTACGTTAATTCAAAGATTTTACGCGCTCAACGTACGTTAGTTACGGGTTTGCGCATGCGTATTTCGATTTGTTTACAAAAGTGGTGGAGCTATCGCGTTGCATATTGAGTACTGTACTAACGTTAAAGGTTAACGTCGTGCGGCGAAAACTACCTAACCTATAACTCGCAGCATCACTGTGCTGAATTGTGTATGGACGAGGTCCGTAAATCTAGGCGCCGTAAAGATTCGCTTATAGTAGCTACATGTTCACGTCATTCCACAACCACAAAATTAACGATAGAATTCTTAATAATTTTAAATTTTGATCACTTCTTGAATCATACATTATACCAAGATTACTCGTATTTCAATTACATTAATTAATATTATCACTGTGTTATCTTAAAATAGAATATTTGTTTAGTGATTATTAAAATTCTGTAGCTTTTAGGCCTATAATAATTTTTGTCATAAATTTATTTTATCAGTGTATGAGTTGGGCTTGGTATTTGGCGAACGACATGCAATTTTTCGTCATCAGTCCGTTTATCATTATTCTTTTACACAAGTAAGTTTTTATAGTTTTTAAATTATTAACGCCCAGATTTGCCGATTGGTAGAACTTATTATTATTATTTTATCCCGTGTCATTTTCATTGGACTGCTAGATCCCATAGTCAACTAAGTGTGAATATCCTCAGGGTTCGTTCATATGACACGTCACCTACTAAATAAATATGGCCAAAGATTGTCAAAGGCGGCAGTCCTCAAAGTGGCCATTAACTAGGTGTATTTTGTCAGAAAAGACTCAAAATGCTCAAAATATGTGACCAAAAGTAATTTATAGGTTTAAAGAATGTAGCATAGTGCAGTTATAACTGATGTCGTTTTTTAACTGTGTTCATTCCATGAATCTGCACTTTATGTATAACTCCATAGTAGGCATATGTGTTAAGAGTCATGTTTGTATGGCAATTCAAACATTTCTCAAAGAATTTCGATACTCTATTTATTTTAAAGCTATTTTATTAATAATTTCTATTTTTACCACATTAGACGTTGGAGGGTTGGAATTTCAGCAATAGGTACACTGTGTCTGCTATCCTTCGCTGCAACGGCTTATATTGCCACGTATTGGGGGATGATTGTTCAAGGCGGTGCATACAATCAACAGTAGGCCAACGTTTTGTATTTTGTTTTTTGTTTTGGCTTTTTGCTTGGCTGATAATGTCGCTATTGATGTTGCTGAAGTATATATATTTTCTTTTATTAATATCATTAATAATAAGATAACTACAGTATCAACCATATTTAAATAATTGGTTTCAGATCTTACAACAACCGTACTCAAGAGTTAGAGCCGGGGAACGATGATCTCATTTACGGAAAACCTTACTGTCGCATACCCGCATACTTAGTCGGTATGGTAGTCGGCTTCATTCTCTTTAAGATTGACAAAAAGAAAGTAAAATTCCCATTGGTTAGTAGATAATTTGCATACACTTTCTATAATTGACATTTTCTATAATTTTTTTTTTCTTGGATTTTTTGGAATTTGTTGATGTGAAATTTTTAAACATTGGACACTTTATTTAACTTCTGCTTTTTGTATTTTTTTAGGTTATTTTAAATTAATTTTTATTAGCTGTTTTTTGTGATTGTTTTTAAAATTAATTTTATTCACTCATATAATTCATAACAATATACAATATGAGTACCGAAATAGCAAGCATAGCTTGTAAATACGTCCAATTCTACTAAAGAAACAAAAAGACTTATAAATAATTAAATAATGTAAACAATGAAAGTTAAATTACAACAAATAAGGCCTAACAGGAATATTAACATTTCTGTAATTTTAACAAAAAGTGATCGTAATAGTGATATGAAATGTCTATGTATTGTTTATATATATTTCTTTCAGTTTAATTTGAATAGGGATAGGTCTATATGTCATAGAATTCGGTAGTGATAACTAGTACCGGTATTTAGGGCCAAAAAGGAAAACTGTGTTATGTCGTTTTGTGAGCCAACAAAAATATGCTATGATGATGACTGACGAGTAGTTTGTTTTCTTGCTTGCTGTGTTTCCTTAATTTATTTGTCCTTTTTGTTATTTATTTATTTATTTAAATTACTTTAACGTTACTGTTTTTGTAGACATAGCATATCTTTATCGATTTTTTTGTTGAGAGAACAACTTACTAATAAGTAACAGTTAGGGCCTATTAAATTATAAGTTTAGATCTATGACAATTTTTAAGGGTGGTAAGGTCGTGCCGTTTGATATTTGTTTTTCAGAACATCCTCATATGAGATAATATAGGCCTATATTGAGGCGTTTATAGCGTACATTGGCGGATCTGGGGAGTCAGTGGGTCCTGACACCCCCTTGGAAAAAAAAATCTCTGTGTACCGGTACACACATAGGCTTATTTACTGTAATATGAATGAGAAAAAAATTACCTGACCGTTTACAAAACAGGAAAACCTTGAATTTTTTATTAAAATACATTTCAGAAATCGGGAAAACTCATTTCTCGCCATCTAAGAACCAAACTTTTCCCGAGGAGGACCCCCGACCCCCGTTTTATTTGGGGTTCATCAATTTATTGAAAAAAAAAAATATGTATGCAGCGACTCAATTTTTGTTATGTACTGTACATACACACATAGTAGGGCTATTGTATTTACGGTAATAAGAATGAGAATGTTTACCTGACCGTTTTCAAGAGGGAAAAACCTTGAATTTTAAAGAACTTAAAAGTCATTAAAAGACCCCCAGAAGTCTGGAAAGCTCATTTCGCGCCATCTAAGAATCAAAATTTTCACGGACCCCACTTTTTTGGGCGTTTTTATGAAAGAAAGTCCCCCTCCTAAATGTGAACCTAGGTGCTGCCTTATATATCTGTATCAGATCAATTGATTTGTTTTTCTGTAGCTGTATGTACTACTTGGTTGGGGCGTTGCCATTGCTACTGGTCTTGCTGTTATCTATGGCTTATGGGGCACATATGAGCCCAAGCAAATGGACCAAGGTGTCGCTGTTTTCTATACCACTGTTTCCCGATTCGCATGGTCAGTGGCAGTCGGCTGGGTAGCGTTTGCTTGTGTCACAGGTTACGGAGGTAATTTTACAATTTTCGACAACAATCTTGTTTTTCTATTTTTAGAAATTGCGTCATGTTAGCGTTCAATTCTCTAGTGTATTTCACGTAAATAATCTGACAGAAGTATCACGTGTGTCTTTGTATGACGTCATGTTGATAATAACATTTACACTCTCCATCCATTCATCCAATATTTACATTGTGAATACGTTTGAACTGTTCCTTGAATACAATAATGAAAAACATGATAAAAGATAAATCCTCTATTATTAATCATTTTAAATCTGTCACATGAGTCCATAGGTCTTCTTACTATAGACCTACATACTTATACATTTTACTGCCATGAAAACAATTGGCTATTGTAACTTCTAACTATCGTCATATCATCACTATCACCGTCATAGCATCACCATCATCGTCGTCGTCATCGTCACCATCGTCTTCGTCGTCACCATCTTCATCGTCATCATCATCATCATTATCTTCATCAATGTAAAACGCGTAGAGACCTTGTGGATATGACTACTATGTAAAATCTGATATATTACTATTATTACTATCACCGTTTGTATCATCACCAGTGGCTTACCTAGGGCATGTTGGTGGGTGGGGCAGAAAAAGCTCAGCGCCCACCCCATTGAAAATATTCGAAGTAAAAAAATCAGGCTCAGGTAGTTAATTTGCAAGATAGTACCCCTCACTTATTCATCGACCCCACTCTACCTTCACCCACCCCTCGCCGACCACCAGATCCCCATTTGAAGGCTCCATAGATACGCTACTGAGCATCACCATAATCATCATCAAAATGTCGCACACAGAGGCCATCATCATGACACCTTCATCATCATAATCGCCTGAATATTACTCAATTGAGCATTCAATGTCCCTCTGAGCATCTTCAGGCATTCAGGCTCTCCAAGCCACTGCAGTGGAAATGGTCAGAATACAATACTGTAATGTACTGTTTGGAATTATTCAGCATTTGCCTATTCAATTGATCGCACTAACTTGGAATGTTTCATTCTCTTCAGGATTCGCCAATACGCTTCTTTCCTGGGGAGTGTGGGGTCCTTTAGGACGTCTTTCGTACGGTGCATACCTGGTTCACCCTTTTCTTATATACAACTTGATTCTTTCCATGAAAACCGGATTTCATTTTACTTACGCAAATCTTGTAAGTAACTTTTTGATATACATATTAGGACATGCATAGCGGTAGACACACATTATGTATCAGTCGAACCAAAATTGTTGGAAAATAATCATTTTGAAATTAATACTTTAATTTTTTTTTTATTGAATTTTGATATATACCTTATTTATTCCAATCGACGCCTGCCTTCGAATAAAAGCCTCCTGAAATAAACACCCCCAGACCCTAATTTTGAATGTACCATCTCCTCACACCCCTCCCCATGACTGTAAACAAATCTAATGGAAGCAACATCATTCTCAACACATTCTATTGAATGTTGTACTCCAGTAAATCTACATTTTTTTTTAACCTTGATAAGTTAATAAGTTTTCATGATCAAGCAAAAATACATTTTAAAGATAATTATGTGCTGTAGTTCCACATTTACAATAAAATCCAGGCGCGTTTATTTGAACCCCTCGAATAAACGCCCCTCAAAAACACTTCTCAACAATACACACCCCAGGGCGTTTATTCGAATAAATACGGTATACGTGTTTTAGTTGTTTTTTTTATTTGAATATAATGCATATATAAAGAAGATGCATCTACGTGTGTTTTGAAGTATATATAAGATATAATCCGGTGTAACGGAATGAATACTCAGATACGTAAATTATTTAGAAACACAAACATTTATTCGGACGATATTCAGACTACTCCTCCTGTAGTCGTGTACGCATAATGTCAAAATGGTGAGATAATTTGACATCCTGAAGCATTTCACATTTGTATATGATATTTTTGTGTTTCAGTCTGTATTCTACATTAGTGTCCTGGCGTTGTCCTACGCATGTGCCTTCGTGTTGTCGCTTCTTGTCGAAGGTCCTTTCATGGCGCTGGAAAAAGTAATTTTTGGGAAACAGAAGAACGAATAATAAGCTTCAATTCGATTTTTGATATACAAAGTTGAAAGCAGTCACTTGATTATACACTGTTTAATAATAAGGACCACCATTCATGATGCCGTCACCAAACCTGATTAGGGGATTGTAATCAGATAATTGATGACTGGTGCTGTAAACAATATTGAAGTGTGTCAGCATTTTATTTGTCACCGAAACTTATCACTTAGTTAAAATCGGCTAATTTATTTGAAACATAACGTAAGTAGTTGTTTACCATAATAGTTTAAGAACACCAATAAATAAAGAGAATAATGCTATATTAATTTACTTATATTAAATGACGTCTGTCTCTTATACACATCTAGATGTGTATAAGAGACAGGGCATACATAGCGTCCCAGTGGTTAAATGAAGTGTCATTAAATAGTTGAACGCTTAAAAATATAACCACATTCAAATAGATAACATTTAGCCCTTTAATGCATTACACATATAACATGCAGACGCTATATATTGTATTATCAATATAGCCTATATACTGTATAAAATTATATAGGACTATTATATACCGGGACTCAATTCCAAAGTTTCGGGTTCGAGTCCCGGTGGATGTTGGCATTTTTATCAATACCACTCACTTGGCTCTTCCACCTTGCGACCTTGAGGAGGGAAGTCTGAAATCGAATAAATATATTTTTATTCGAATATCCTACATGAAAGCTACATTATAAACACAGGATACCAGGAGTTTAAAGTTTCAGTATACAGTATTACAATCACCTTCATCGTATAGTCGTCATCTTCTCTGTTATCATTATCAACAGCTCATTTACTTACGCTGATTTCGATGTAACCGTGATCACCCGTGTGGCCGCCGCCGTTGTCGTTCTCGCTGTAGTGTCCTCGTAGTCAACATCATTATTGTCATCGTCATTATCGTTCATGGCTTCGTTATTGCCACCGTGATCGTCACCATTATCCTTATCGTCATCGTCATCAGCTTCTTCATAATCTTCTTTATCATCATCACCATCATCATTATTATCACTATCATCACCCTCATCGAAGTCATTATCATCAACGTCATTTTTGCTACTCACTCAATGTATCGTGCCGGCGGATTCGGCTGCTCTCTATAAGATCTAAAATCGAACAAAACGATTACCGGTATATATAATTATTTTTTAAAGGCATACATAGCTACCCATGGTTGAATGTCATTAAATAGTTGAACGCTTAACAATATCAACAACATTCAAACAGATAACATTTATCCCTTTAATGTATTACACATATAACATGCAGACGCTATATATTATACGGTATTATTGATATATAGGCTCTATACTGTATAAATTATATAGGGCTAGGCCTATTATATACCGGGACTCAAAGCCAAAGTTTCGGGTTCGAGCATTCTTTATCAATACCACTCACTTGAATCTTCCACCTTGCGTCCAGAAGGAGGGCGGCCTGAAATTGAATAAATACATTTTTATTCGGATATAATATATATATATACATGAAAGATACAGTATAAACAGAGGATAATGATAAAAGGAGTTAAATTAAAGAGTTGTCTCTATTAGGCCTACTCTCTTTTTAAAAGAAGCCTACCACAAATGAGGCTAAAATGTTTAGATGTTTATTGGAACAGAATATTTCAATTCATCCCTACCTCCAAAAGCCAAGCCGTCAGCATTGTAATGAGCATTAAAAGCACCCACTATCAGAAATACTGCCACTAAAGTAAGCAGGCTACTGAAAGAGAAGTAATCGAGCACAAGGTTGGTGCAGAGTTTTACCCCACTACTACTATCATTATTTCTTTCAACTCATCGAAATGTCAAGGCACTCAACTAAACATAGGTCTCTTGGTAACTACTTGGTGAACCGCAATACAAGCATATTTTTCGTATAGATAAGCTGAATTAAACCATGACTGTCTTTGTATTAACTATGGTACCTGACTAAGATTGAAAAGTGAGTCCAACTCAGAAGAAAATGAGCAATTTTAGCAAAATAAAAGGAAAAAGATTAGTTGATGTCAAGTAAGAATAATATATGACACTTATATTAGACCCATATTTTCTACATAGAGAGGTGTTGGGCCTCCTCACATCAAAATAGCATTTGCAGCTGTACCCGCTGCTACTTGGGGACCGGATTCAACACTTACTAGTCACTAAGCGCAAGCTCGGTGTCTGGTGGTTATGGCGCCAAGCTAGTTATTAGACAAGCAGATTTAGAGTCTTGAGTCAGACAATTGCAAACGTTTGTTTTATTGCTGATTTTGATTTATCATATCATATCATATCATTTATTTCGTCTTCAGTTCAACACATACAGTAGCAAATAAACAACAAAAAGAAGGAAAAACAGAAAAGAAACAATGCTAGCTAACACCAGGCGGGATTGCTCAAAAGTGGCATTAAGGCTACTGTCTGAGAGCTCTCCAAAGTGCAGCTCGCAACAATGTAATATATAAAAGAAACATAAAGGTAAAATAAGTTGTTTAAAATTAAAATATAATATTTCATGAAGAAATTACAACTTTAGGAAAGTATAATACATACTCCAATGATTTCAATACTTGGCGTATGTATTATACTTTCTTATCTGAGATTAATCAGTGGACCTTTCGGTTTTTACAACTTTAGTGTAAAAATGAGCAGCTATGCAGAAAAGGGTGACATTCAAGTGGTCTCATCCACCGATGTCAAAGTAACGTCGCTGTCTCAATGAGGCAACTTACACGCAGATAATCTCAAAAGGCAGTATGCAAGGCTCATCGGCACTTTCCACCACAGGACAAGCCTGTGGCTCCACTACCGTGCACTGCAAAGACAACGACGTTACCTTGAGAAAGGAAAAGGTGAGACGTCAAACCTGAAAACCTAAAAAAAATTCTTTTAAAATGTGTTTCATAATGCTGGTAACAATTGCTTATATTATAGAACTTTTAATTGCACATCGTTTTGATTCCGATCGACTGAGTTAAAATTGAGGCTACTTACCGTTTGCACGTCATTATTGGTGTAATTGACAATGAAGTAATTTGGGCAAGAATTTACCAACTATATTCTACAAGCGTGCTTCACAGCTATAGAGGTGTCCGGGTACGTTCAACAGTAAAAGTACAGTAAAGCAACTTTGAAATTTTACCGATTATTTGACCGATGTCCGCTTTTATAGTAGTTTGACAAACGCCACCAAACGTTACAAAGAATCCAAGCATTCCTATTGGGTAGACTGGCCAACTTTTTCAAATACATGTCTCCCTCTAATTAAAGACCGCTCCAGTTAAAGACCACCTCCAATTGAACACCGCTTCATGTGGTCCCAAATTAACAAATGTCTTCTATTTTTATCATTCTTGTTTTGGTCTGTCTCTTTTGTTTGTTTAGCCGTAGGCCTATTCAAGCTCTGCTTTTTAGGATTTCTCTACTCAAACTTATTTAATGAAATGTATTATTATCAATTTAAAAAAAAAATGTACTTTGAATCATTGAGCCATAGAGACCAAAGCTGATAAAGATCATAAAAACTTGACCCCAAAAGTGGTATTTGATTGGAGGGAGGCATTTATACAGATTGTGATATTTCTTTTTATTTTGAACAAAAAATATAATAATGAGAGTAATATGATGTGGAAATGTTGGCCATCATATATATAATTGATATACAAGAAGATATTGTGGTACTCGGATGTTCCTGCCACTCCTGCGATCATAACTTTGATAGATTTAATTTTTCTGCCACTCCCGTGGCCTTCAGGCTCGCGTATATTTCTATCACTTTACCATGACCTTTACCATATGGCGGTATATGGATTTAACTGCACCTCTTTCGAGTTTTAATCTTTAATCCAGCCTGGCGTGATTTTTTCACAAGGATTAATGCAAGACGGTTGAAGAGTTTAGCTTTCTACTGTCACATATGCAGACTGTAAAATATATCTTATTAAACTTGCATATTTGATTTCCCATAGAGCCAGGCAAGTCCCGTGTTCAAAAATAATAATAAGAAGAATAATATTTATATGATAATGAGAGATTACACAATTTGTAGGCCTAATTGAACAAAAGGATAATTTAAAAGTTGATAAACAATGTACACATTTGCAAATTTAGTTTATTTATATACATAAACATGACACTGTAAGCACATAGCCGATAGTTCTACTGCACACACATGGTGTGGCACTCTTTAGGTAAACAATTTTCAAATCGAAAAATTTCCTAATTAGGCACTTTTATCTGAAGAGTTTTACACCGTGTGTGTGCATTGGTACAATATATGTGAACACTAAGATCATGAATTCAGGTTCACAACCTGATACTGTTGAATTACGTGTAGATTGACGTGTCACGAACTTCGCTTCGTTTAAATAAGATTGCCTATATGGAATCTCTGTACACTGATGATAACAGTAGGATCTGTCGGAACATGTATGTATAACATAAGGCTTAGCCATGGCTAGGCCTAATAAAGGTTTCAGGCCTGACATGATCGTTCTCAAAAGTATCGTCATATTTTTGAATTTTATTAGTGATATATATATATACACTTATATATATATATATATATATATATATATATATATATATAGTATAGGCCTATAATAAATACCAACCTGAACAGTGCACAATATGTATGCTTAACTGAAGAATATTTTGAAATTGATATAACAATTAACAATGTACACATCCGCAAATGAGTTGGTTTAGTGCATAGACAAGACACTGATATGAAAGTACAGAGCAATGACAATAATAACGATTTATGGACACAAAACACTGAATCTTTTTATTTTCAATCGTCAATTTTCTCATTTAATGAAACAATAATATTGTTTGTTGTAATTTCTGAAATTGCCTAATAATCCTTAATTGATAAAGTTATTCGCAAAAATGAGCGAAATATAAACAATTGAGAGAAATTCAAAATACTAAAACGAACTTCATAATTCGTTAATAAATTCTGGTTTATTAAATTCTGAATTGTATTGTATTAAAATTAACAATATAGAATTAATAACTATAATAATAATAATTATGAATTGGCTTAAAACACTGAATTGCAAAAAAAGTTATTCAAAAAAGGTGCAAGGTATTAAAATAGATAGATACAAAAATAAGCAAGAAAAATCAAATTTAAAAAATATGACCAGTATATAAGCCGGTATGTTGTTATTTGTGCTAGTTAAAAGTACAGTACAGTACTTGTATTCGTCTTATTCCGTTAATATGCCGCCTTCCTCTTGTTGAAGGCTTTGAAATTGTCTGCAAGGTCATGCGTGTCACGTCTGTTTTTCTGAGGTGGCGCCAGCGGAAAGGGAGAGCAGGCCTCTCCCGCCGGGGAGAGCTTCCACCACCCATATCGGGGAGAAAAAAAAATGTATTTTAACGTATTAGTAGACTATAAAATCGATTAAATAAGCCTTTGAAGCCCCCTAAATTATCATAATTTCCGGGGCTTCAGGCCCTGGACCACTTCCTAATGATTATGAGCGACCCCCACCACGCCCACATATGCTCTCGTCGGTGACGTCGTCCATCCCCCTCCTCCGTCCTGGTGCTACCCCTGCTGTTATTTTGCCACATTGAGAGGATTTCATGTCTACTTGATGGTAATAATTAGTCGTTGCTATAAATTAAGTGTATTTACATTGTAATTGGTTTACTGTATATACTTATTTCTTTTTATTTTATTAGTTGATGTTTAACATTTCCTGTATGCTTGAAAGATGAACAATACATTTAATTATAGCTATACAAAGTCATTCTTAATCATATGTCAGTAAAATAAGTTCTATATGCAATATTATTCATTTTAAGACAGAAAAAAATTATTATTTAGTATTTCCTTTTAACACTTGTAAAATACTATCTTTCCTGCATTACTGTTTTGATGATATTTTTTATGTTTAATTTTTAAGGGTAAGGGGTAAATGCATTGTTTGAGGAGGGAAGAAGGTTACTTGGAATATTGTTTCTGAAAATAAGGGGTGAAGTTTTGTTCAGTTTTATTTGTGGGGAGGGATAACATTTGAATTTTCAGGGAGGGAGGTGGATGGAGGAAGGGAATTATTTAAAATGTTTTGAGTAATCATTTGTCTTTAAGTGTTGTGTTTCGCACGCATCTATGTTTTTCAAAGTGTGCCACTGATGTAGCAGTGCAAGTCTAAATAATAATTATTATTACTATTATCCCTACTATGATTATACAATAAGAAGTGAAAGCATTATAATTTTGATTAAGCTAATTAAACATCGAGATTTAGATAAACTGATAAGTAACTGCCTGAAACGTTATACATCATCATTTTTTCATAATTTGTTAGTGTTTATCTTCAATCATAAGGTAGTATTAGAGAAACAATAAACAATACTGAAATTATTTTCATTGTTTAGATATAGTTTTCAGTGTTTCATTATATTTTTCCAAAGATGACTTTTTCTAATCGCATGAATGGTCCTTCAATAAGGATAGCCAATATGAATGATGAGGCATACGCGAATACAATAGATCCAACGAAGAAGAATGCCTGTGTGTAAAAAAACAAAGAAAATAAAGCATGAGTAAAATTCAATGGAAACGTCTTATTTGAATTTTTTGAGATAAAACAAAAGGACTGTTACTTACATAGTCAACGTAGCTGAAATGAAACAAGGTTTTCCAAGAATAAATCACGGCGTACATGACAATAGGGTGCAAGAGGTACGCCCCGTAGCTAAGACGGGCCAGTGGAGTCCAGAATGCCCAGGACAGAATGGTGTTGACGAATCCTTTAAATAAAAAAATAAAAAAACACAAGTATTTCTCTGTTTGCAAACACTGTCAAAACGATGATTTACTAATTTGATCACAAATAAGTCAAATGGCATAAGAAGCACCGCAATCTACAATTATAATATTGGCATTCGAGTCATAAACAAGAATGGATAATGTCGATTTGTCTACTCAAAATTTAAAGAAAGGTTATTGTATTTGAAAAAGATAAATAATTTCCACATACCTCCATGACCGTTTACACATGCAAAGATAACCCAAGCCACGGCAGCCGACCACGCAAACCGAGAAACTGTGTTGTAGAATGTCGCAACTTCGTGGCTCGGCGTTTGCCCTCTATAGACTCCCCAAATGCCATAAACCACAGCAATTCCTGTGCCTACTGCCATGGTCCATCCCACGAATAAAGCAATCTAAACATATTATTATTATTATTATTATTATTATTATTATTATTATTATTATTATTATTATTATTATTATTATTATTATTATTATTATTAATATTATTATTATTAATAATAATAATAAATAAATAATAATAAAACAGCATTTATAATGCGCCGTCTATCTAGCGAACTATTCCGAGGCGCAGTGACTCTTGAAAAGAAAATGGATTTACTAATTTTTATGTTTTTATATTGAATAGTTAAAATTCCAATACACAGAGGCAAAATTTTGAAATTATCAAGTGAAAAGTATTGAATAATAAAGTTATAGTTGCAGTTATGAATAAATATATTTACTAACAAAACATTTAATTGCAATTATATACTTACTTTTCCATTTATCTCTATTTTATTCATTCTATCTATTTTATACTTGTTTCTTGCTTTTATTACTATACCTTGTACTCCTCTTTTTTAGTTCTATCCCTTTTATCCTTGCATTTAATTTCTATATACTTTCTTTCTATTCTTTCATATTCCTTCCCTGCTTCAGTTCATTATCTTTCTATTCATTTTTCTTTCTTATTCCTTTTCAATCTTTCGTTTTCTTTCTGATTACTTTCCAATCTTTCGTTTCCTTTCTTATTACTTTTCAATCTATTTGTTTTCTTTCTCATTCATTTTCAATATTTCGTTTTCTTTCTAGTATCGTAATTCATTTCAATCTTTCCTTCCATTCTATACCTTTCAGTTTATTTCTTTTGAACTATTCCTTTTCAGCCTTTCGTTTTCTTTCAATTTGTTTCTTTTCCTTCTTTTCTTCAATTGTTTTCTGTTTTATTCCTTTCCGAATGTTTCGTATTCTTTCTTATTCCTTGACAATCTTTCTTTCTTCTTGTTCTTATCAATCTCCCGTTTTCTTTCTTATTACATTTCAATCTATTCGTTTTCTTTCTTATTACTTTTCAATCTCTTCGTTTTCTTACTTCTTACTATTATTATTATTAGCCTAGTTTTGGTTAAGGTATAGACAGCTGAAGTTTCCAGGTTCGATTCCCAGTTGTGGAAATATGTTCGCACAAGCAGGCTCGTCTTATTACCGTTTCATTATTTATATATGCCTCCACCCACCACATACTCAATACCTGTCTCTTATACACATCTTAGGGTATGTATGTGTGTATGTCTGTTTAAGCTTGCGGTACACCACGTAGGTAGTTCTGAAAAGAACTGTTGTAGTTGAGAAAGTCTCGACGTTTCGATTGAGTTGCTTCAATCGTCTTCAGGAGAATATCTGCAGAAATTCCAAGCAGGGAAATACTTATATATTTGGGTAGAGATGATGGCTGCTGATTGGATGAATAAACTGACCAATGAGGAGACTGCTAGTGAAAGACTAAAACAAAAGCCAAAAAGCCATTGTTTATTGAGAGAAAGGATGGGAACGCACAAAGGCTTAGTTCCAGTTTGCGGGAAAAAGAGGTGGGAACGAAAAAAAAGGCATAGTTCCAGTGTGGCGGGATGTATATATGTATATACATATACATGTACATAAACATACATATTATATATATAATATATATATATATATATATTATATATAGGCCTATATATATATATATATATATATATATATATATACAGTATATATATATGATGTTCAGTAAACTAGAACCTAGAACACGGGACCCTTTGCTGTCTTTGCAGACGCCTTAACCAGGTGGGCCATTTATTCTTTATAGCAACTAATCTATCATACACTAATGCGCATGTGTAATTAAACAGCACTCTTATTGAACAGAAATAAACATAAGCCCTCATTCTCGAGCATATGAACGACAAGACTTTTAAAATCAGCTATAGTAAAATAAAGAAATCTAATAATATTTTATTCTAATAAAACAAAAAATATTCAACACTTACGGCTGTAATACCGAGCCAATGATCGGAAGACCCCAGTAGTACGAAATCCAAGCAGTAACACCGAATGAAACAGCACACAAAAAGCCAATGGCTGTTAGGCCAATCTTCCAGTTCCTGTAGAGGTGTAAAACATTATTAATAATAATAATAATAATAATAATAATAATAATAATAATAATAATAATAATAATAATAATAATAAAAATAATAATAATAATAATAATAATAATAATAATAACAATAATTATAATAATGATACAGTAATAATGAAATAATTATATAATTATATAAATAATATACATTAATCACAATAATGAAAACAATAATACTCATTATTATGTTTGGTGTGTAGCACAGTAAAGAAAATATAAACAATTACAGCAGTTAGATAACAATATCAGCGGTCAAATATTATAAAACATGATGATGGATACTACATACAGTAGAATAGTCAGTATATGAGTTCATTTGTTATACGTCAAAGTCCTTACTTATAAAGTAAAATGATGAGAAATGGGCTGATAACAAAGAACTGCATATCATTTGCAAGATACCAACTCCATCCCATACACTGAAAGAAATTTTATCGTAAAGTAAATTTAGTGAGACAAAGGTAATTTTAATTTATTTAATGACATTTTTAAAGAGCCCTATGAAAAAGAAAAGTGGTTGTAAATTTACTTGTGGATGAACTGATATAATTCAATCCACTGCTTTCTCAATTTCACCACTTTCCCTTCTGTTCCGTTTCGTACATTTTCAACCATCTTAACAAAATAACTATATTGTATATGCTCGCGTGTGTGAATATTAATGTATACAATAATAGATAATAAGCCTAAATTAAATACGCTCACCCTTAAGTAAAGCAGAGGTAGCGCCAGGATTTACCCGACAGGTTCCGGAGCCCGTATAGAGGGGGAGGGTGAAGGAATATCCCCGACGAGAGTGTAAATGAGCCTAGTCGGGTGTCTGTAAACTTCTCTCGGAAGGGGTACTGTACAGGAGAAGCTCCCGGAACTATGACTACTGTATTAATTTTTTGGGGTTGCAAAGGCTATTTCAATCGATTTCAGAATCTTTTAATGCGAAAAATACTATGAAATTGAGTTTTCCTCGACGGCGGAAGAGAAGAAGGAAGCGGAGTGCACAGCGTGCCCAAGGCCCTCACTAGTTCCACGTTTATTTTACAGGATGACTAACCATGTTCGTCAAGCTTCCTGGAAACGGATAAAGATTGTTAATGTAAAGAAGGTTCGTCCACCAATATTTCTGGCAAACACTAGTTGAATACTCAGCAAACTCAATTTTTCCTTGGCCTTTGCCAAAGTAAACGAACAGCGTTGAGAGGATGGCAATGCTCATCATGTAAGTCGGAGTCAAACGCCAAAATCGATGGAAGTAAAATAGGAACCAGTTCAGACGACCGTTTGTCTTCTTCAGATGGTTAAGGGTGAGGTAAGTCAGGAGAAGGCCACTGAAAGAAAAAACAAAAAGAAAAAACAATTTTCTGTTTACGTTTATAGTACTGGGTTCGGAATCTGTACTACGAGGACTTTTGACTTCGATATTATTCAAACGTATGTGCCATTTAATATTTGATTAATCGCAATATTAATACCAAATAATGTAATAATCACAGTATATTATTTTCATTGATTTGTTAAACTGACTCACCTTAACACAAAAAACGTGTCCACTGCAAATGTAGCGTTAAGAATGGCTAGGAATGTGAAGTCCGTGGCAACGGTGTAAACATACCGAATATTATCTGTAAAAAACAAATTTTGGGGGAAAATACTTTAACATTTACATACTGTAAATCCACCGTCATGTTTTCTTTCATTGCTTTATTGTGTAGCGGAACTTCACAATGTAAAGGTAACAGTACTGATCGATATATTTTTTAAGTTTGCGTTTCACATATGAAATCTAGTTTCAATAGCTTTCTAACATAGTGCTACTGGACATAAGGAATATTAAGATGAAATAACTAGATATGGATACAAAATGGGATGAGATCATTGCACGTGATAATATAGGATACTTTCACAGCGTTTAATACATGTTCACACAGTGTTGACTGTTTACTACAGCGGAATTTATGAGGTTTATATTGTCCCACTTGTACGAAGAGTGAACACAGAAACAGTGTGTGTGGAGGCAGTGTGCAAACCAACACTGTACACATTGTTTTAAACAATGTTATTTCATTTCATTTTTTTTTTCATTTCATTAAGGAGATCCCTAAAGAGGACAGTTTTTGGACGCGAATGACGGGAATATCTTTCAACATTAAGACAACCCTTATTCAGGGGACACTTTTCTTGGTCCCGACTATGTCCCCTTAACGGGGCCCTAATGTATATTTATCTCTAGAATGATTTATTATGATATACTTTCGTTGCTCATGAGGTTCTGGGAAACCTTCAGTTACTCTTGCTGTAACAAAACATACCAAAATTATTGCGCTAGCCACATAATGCCTATAGTTTAAAATTCTTTTTCTTCAATGAATGACTTTACAGAATTCTAACTTACCGTATCGTGAATAGGCAAAATATAGTGTATGCCCAAGTATCACCCACCACATACTCAATACTCGGATCCCATTCAGACATTCCAGTTGTCCAGCACCATTTCCGACATCAAGTATTTTCGATCCGTTTTTCATTGCCGAAAATGACAACAGTGCTTGTTCAAAAACTCTAGTAACATCAGATGTACCGGTATCCCCTGCATGTAAAAAATGTTTATGGAAATTTATATAAAAAGTTCCTTCAGCTTCCTCGTCTTGAGTCCATATCCCTTAAAGCAACAGAATTTTTCTCATGGATTCATATTTCAAAAGGACCTTTCGTCGGGGAACCATTGATCCCTCGATCTGGCGCCACCAACACAATGTTGCTGAAGCACTTGGGAAAGGTACTGTATCGTATTTAATGTTAGTGCCCTCCTCCCAGGCGTATAAGTGGTTACTTAGTAGGTTTGAATAATGTTGTGCACCCCACCCCGCAGGTGCACCCCACCCTACCCCGCAGGGGAGCTAGTACCTGTAGGCCTACATGTATATAACAAATATTATAAATCAAAAACAATTAATATACAAACCCTTTATTTTGGTCATTTCTTTAGAAAGTGGAACAGGTTTCCCAGTTGGTGACTTTATTATCTTTGAATTAGAAGTCCCCGCCTCGGCTGCTTCCGACGCCTCACTACTGACGTCATCTCCGTCTTGTGATTCTGCTTCACCTTTGCCTTTTACATGTTCTAGATGATGGCCTTGTAATTCTGGGTCACTTTTTCTTTCCATAGTGTTTACGTGCTCGCCTTTGTAACCGTGGTTGATTTCAAATCGACCTTCTTTCTCATAAACATTTTTCTTCTTTTTAAGTTTATTTTTTTCAAGAACGTCATGAGCAGTCCCAATGACAACCAACGCAGTGAATATTGACAACAGAGTCCTTGGTAGAAATCATCAGAAAGAATTCAGCAACATCACTTATTATCATATTAAGATTTATGTGAAAGTGTAATGAATCAAACTTGTAGGGTAAACACCTCTAACCTATTTGTGTTTCCTCTGAAATTGATGACTTATTTGATGTTTTGTTTTTTTAAATAAGCAATTAAACGTGAGAGCAGCTACTCAGTAGTCTAAACTGGTGGTGTCACTGTTTGTGTGTTGAACTGCAGGGATCTCTTGGTCCCCTGATCAATTCCCATAGATTCTCTTAATTCTTGCGTTCAGCTGGAGGGCTGATATGTAAGATTCCAAAGTCTTTCGGATGAGACGTTTAACCCGTTGGTCCCGTGTGCATTATGACCCATGTGCACACTAAAGAACGCAACACACTATTCGGAAAAGAGTAGGGGATTGTCTCCCGGTGTACGGTACTTCCCAATCCCCACAGAAGGATCCCACCGGAAATAAGTCTTCTTCTAGACTTTCGTGATTATCCTTGGTTTCACACCAAATAAATCCATCCTAAGTTTTAATATTGTGCATCAGTAAATGTACTAGGCCTATATAAGACATTCTATTTAGAAACTAAACTTGTATGCACAAGATGACCAAATATTTTATCATGAACTCAGCCCTGTGCTTAATTGTAGGCTATAAATTGTTAATGTTACGTCATAATTTTCAAAAATTTGTTTAATTGTCGAAGCAGATCAAAGATGGCTTAATCTTTTCTACACTACCGGTTTTTACACAAGCTCTTGGCTTAGCCTATACTGCAGAAAAACAACAATTTCTTACAATGTTGCTACGGACCCGCCTGACCATGGAACCTCGTCGATACATTGAAATTCGTAGTAAATTTCGCCGAAGTTGTAAGTAACGTTCAAAAATGAAGCTGGTAATGCTACCACTGTAAATAAAAAGGTGGAATAAAGTTTCAACCAATTTAATATCCAAAATACTTTTTAAGAAATTTGGCTTATTGAGCTCTAACCTTGTGGTGGCGATTTCGAATCCCAAATGGCATCAAAGGATTTTGGACTATAGCGTGTTTGAAATAATTACCAACAACAAGCTTTACATATTTAGAGTAACAAAACATAATGTAATGTGAATTTATAATAAGCTAGCATTTCTTGATTAAACTTTGTTATACATACTATACGTATCAAGTAAAACATCGTTACCTCCGTTTGTGATTGCTTTTAGATCTTCATTCCTACACGAGGCTGGACTGCATACAGCAATCCTTAATTGCTGAAGAACAATGTCAAAAAATTGTGGTTATGTTTAAATATCATTACTTTTATGGAAATAAATGTTGGAATGTTCGTCAACTCAAGCCTTGTTACTTGTTACTTGTTACTTTTATAGCGCTTATTCCTTACAAAACGTTAAATACCCTCCACTAAATTTACATTTCATTCAAGTACAACCCACCCTGACCGAAACCAACATCGTATGCTTTCATGAGTCAAAGACCAAAGTAAATCAATGATAATAAAGGATAAACAAATTAAAATGGAATGAGAGCAAAACCTACCAAACCCAGCCCAACAGGTTTTAAAGCTTGTCATAAACTGTCTGACAGTGTTAACGCTTTTAATAGAAAGGAGGCAAGACGTTCCATATTAACCAACCTTGCTATTATTTTATTCAAAGTGTTAACATTTATGGAAAACCTTATACTTATCTTTATATTTTTTTTATGTTTCTGTTTTTGCTAACAATCTCCTTTATTAGAAATATTTAATGTGTATGAATGTGGTACTATTAGAGTCCTATCGTCATACTATTCTATGTATTGGTTTGTGTGTTGTAGTTTATTGAACTTGCATATGTCTACGTGTGCAAGCTTAATATTAAAATCATGTTAACACCAGCTAAAATAATGTAGTTAATCAGTTTCATTCTGTAACTGAATAGGAATATATAAATAGATAAATATAAACCTACCCATTGACGAAAGTACATAATCATTCCACACTGCTTCGTTCTAAATGGCGCGTTCTCAAGCCCGACGCACAGATCATAATCACCAAGCGATTGAAAGTTGAAATTGTAGACATCGGCCAGAGATGGAAATTTTCCATTCGAAGCAAGCACTAATAGATTATGATGAAATAGATATATTAATTAATAATGATATAAATAATAACTCCAAGTCGTGTACGGTATGTCGTCGATAAAACGGTACTAATACAAAATAATAATAAACGTAAACAACTTTAATAATAACTGGAGCAGTGACTGCAGAGAGTTCATACCTCCACCCTGTGGCTGAATACTGTCCAGCAATACACATAAACCAAAAGGTCCATTGATTAATCTCAGATAAGAAAGTGTAATACATAGGCCTACTCTGAAATACTCGCCATCGTGTTGGGATTTAATATTTTGACATTAATTATGTCGTCATCATTCCTGATGATGACACAATTAATGTCGAAATATTGACTCCCAACAATTAAAAAAACCGTTTTACTTTAGAATTAAGATATTTAATTACTTTCTTTTTTCAAATTAATTAGATAAGCAGTGACAGTATCTTTAATAAATAAAAAATAAACTTTGTAATTAATCGCATAGTAACCCTTACTTCTAAGTGCATAGTCATTGCCTTGAATAAGATCCTGAAAATACGTAGTCAAGTCATTTAGGCAACTTTCTGACACTTGAATAGCATCCTGAAAAAAATCCTGTAGACTGGACTCTATGGCGCCACTTACTAACTCCGTAACAATCTCATCTATAACTTCCTCAGGAATATCCGTGAAAAGATCCGATGGAACTTCTTCGAGAAACCTGGTTAGTGATTCGTCTGTAATTGTGAAGTTTGAATTCGCCATCTCGATCATTTTAATAATTTCCTCGTAAATACGAGGAATACTACTTAGAGTTGAATTTATATCGATTGGTATGAATGCATCTGCGGGATTCTCACATACGATGGGATTGGGCAGAATTATAAAACACATAAAAATCAGTGCTACAACTCGCACGGCTATTTCCATCTTGATGCTTCTATTCGAAATGACAACCCGTTTGATTCTGAAGAAGCTGAAGAATTCTTTAGCAGATCTTATGTATATATACACATCAAACACTAGCAGTTCTCATACCCAAACATTAAACAATATAGGGTGACGCCTAAGAACTATCACGTCACCGTATCTGTCATCACACCTACAACTCAAAATTGTCCCTTTCCGGTGTCTTGATGCTCTTACCCTCCCTTTATTGTCCGTTTTTTTCCTATGCTTCTTCCGGTGTGCTCACATTTTGATGTTGGTTTTGCTTTTTCGTGATTTTTCTTCTTTGTATTTTAAATTTGTATGGCATTTACTGTATTTTTTTGTGTTGTAATTTTTGTGCCATTTTAATATTTTACCTGTGTACATCCATACGCAATTCAGCCTTGTTGCTGCTATGTATGATTTTTATATTGAGTTTATATATATTTATATATATATATAAATACATACATACACACACAAATATATATATATATATATATATATATATATATATATA